ATGTGCTTTTCCCAGAGTCTGGCTTTAAAAATAGTTTCAGTTGATGCAACAACCAATCAGCAATCGTCTTCTATAATCTAACTGCTCAGAAAATGAAAGGTACAGTGCAGTCTGGTTAGCAGAAGATCCCAATGCTATTAATGACATCCTGAGAGACTGCTAATCAGTTCTCGATAGGTTTCCCAATGGAAAGATGAGCAGTTGTATTGCCATGTGAGCACTGTTACACTGGCATTTATTTTAAGGCAGACGGCTTGCTTTTGAAAACAAACTCTCCTTTTTCCTGCAAAAACAATACCATGGAATAAAATGCGCACAAACATTTCCTGTGAATATTTTCCATCCAAAAACCTTTTCTTTTTTTTTTCCTGTATGTCTTGAATTTTACGAGTCCACAGACACTAAACCAGAAATCTCATTTGTTTCCATAGACTGGCTGCACTATACAGTATCAACCACATCTCAGGGAAGCACCTGATACTCACGACTGGCATCACACATTACGCTTTTTTGTTGTGTTTGGAATGGCCACCAAACAGCTACTGGTTGGGCAGGATATTTTCTTAGATACTCTTAGATTGTAAGCTCCCAGGATCAGGGCCCTCCTAACCCTCTTGTATTGAACTGTATTGTTGCTGTATTGTCTCCCATTATATTGTAAAGCGCTGAGCAAACTGTTGGTGCTATATAAATCCTCTATATAATAATAATAATAACCAATACATTACACTCAAAGCAATGAGTAAAATCAACTAAATTTGAAAGCTGAACTATAAGCAAATTTTATAAAGACAACATTCAATCCAGTAATGTATTTGTTAATGAATGGTTCTCTCCATGCTACTCCTCTAATTAATCTACAGTAAATTAAAGAAATAAAAATGCTGAATGGGATGGAGGGGCACAGGGGGAATTGCTTGGTTGGTAAGACAAAGGCTTTAAGAAATTATTAAGGGATCTTTCACACAGGCAGCAGTAAAAAGAGGCAGTCAATCTGAAGTTTTACCGCCCCATGGTTGCCCACCCAAATATTAAGATTACAGCCTGACTATGGCTGTACACATGCCATGGCCGTGAAGCTTTGCCCCGCCACAAGTAATTCTTTGCTATAAGCAAATTGTGTAAAAAAAAAATAAAATACAGATCACTTCCCCAAAGTAGTACAATGTTACTATGGTAACATTATACTACTTTGGTCATGATGAAATATGAAAAAAAAATCTTTTTTTTTTCGTACTGTCACCAGTCAGTGTCCCTGATCACCGCCATGCCAGTTATATGATGACACTGTACTGCACTGGTGACAGTATGTAAAAAAAAAAAAAAAATAGTGAAAATCATTTTTTTTTATTTTTGTTCATTTCCGAAAAATGACAAAAAAATTACAACTTCAAAGAACTCGCCATGCCTCTTATGAAATACGTCGGACTGTCTGCTTTGCAAAAAGGGGTCATTTGGGTGATATCTGTACTGTCCTGACATTTGGGGGATATCTGTACTGTTCTGACATTCTTGGACCTCAAGAAATTAGATTGGCTTTCAGAACTTCAGGATTGATCAATATTCAGATATATACCGTAGTTTGTGAACTCTATAACTTTCCTACAGAATAAATAATAAACACTAATTTGGGTTATTTTCACCAAAGACATGTAGTAGGATAAATTTTGGCCTAAATTTAAGAAGAACAATTATTTATTTGCAAACTTTTATAACAGAAACAAAGAAAAACATGTTTTTTTTTTTTCAAAAATTTTTGGGCTTTTTTTGTTATTTAGCAAAAGATAAAAACCCCAGGCGGTGATTAAATACCACCAAAAGAAAGCTCTAGTTGTGTGAAGAAAATGATAAAATTTTAGTTTGGGTACAATGTTGTATGACCGCGCAATTGTCTTTCAAAGTGTGAGAGCGCTGAAACTTCAAAATTGACCTGTGCAGGAAGGGGGTAAAAGTGCCTGGTATGGAAGTGGATAAACAATAAAAGTGTAAAAAAAAAATTCCAGATCACACTCCCCTGCCCCAGAGTAGTACAGTGTCATTATGGTGACACTGAGCTATTCTGATGACTGGAAGAACACAAATAAACAGTTGAAATATATATATATATATATATTATATATATATATATATATATATATATATATATATATGTTTCAAAATTAAATAAAAAAAGTTTTTTTGGTTTTTTTTTAACATACTGTCGTCAGTGAGTTTCACTGCCACATCAGTCATATGATGACACTACTGCACTGGTGACAGTATGTAAAAGAAATTGTGGAAAAAAAAAAATTTTATTTAATTTCTTCACTTTCACAAAACATTGTGTCAAAAAATTAGAACATTATAAAACTCACCATGCCTCTTACTACATACCTTATACTTTCTACTTCCAAAAAGGGGTCATTTATGGGGCATGTGTACTGTCCTGGCATTTTAGCACCTCAAGAAATGAGATAGGCAGTCAGTACATCAAGATTAATCTATTTTCAAATATATATATATCCCATAGTTTGTAGACTCTCTAACTTTCACATAAGCCAAATAATATACACCTATTTGTTTTTCTACCAAAGACATGTAGCAGAATATATTTTTGCTTAAATTTATGAAGAGGTCTGATTTTTTAATTTTTTTTTTACTGGATATGTTTTATAACAGAAAGTAGAAAATATCAAGGAGGGAGGGATCTTAGTCTTTTTTCATCTATATAATAACAAAACTCAGTGGTGATCAAATACCACCAAAAGAAAGCTCTATTTGTGTGAAAAAAAACAATATAAATTTATTTTTGCATACAGTGTTGCCTGACTGTGCAATTTCCAGTTAAAGTAGCACAGTGCAGAATAACACAAAAAGGCCCTGGTAATGAAGGGGGTAAAAGCTTCCAGAGGGCAAGTGGTTCAGTAGGATGAATTCTCTAATTCAACGTAAAAAATGAAATTTTTTCCTTCACCTAATTCTGTTTTTATTTGTGTGAAATGTGTCTTTGAACCGGCTATATAATTCAACCAGGGGCGGACTGACCATTCGAGCACTCGGGCACTGCCCGAGGGCCCGGGGTCAGTGGGGGGCCCCATGAAATGCCCCTGGTACCTTTTTTATAGGCTTTTTTGAGTGTGGGCAAGGACACAGGAGCCCCATGATCCCCTATTGCCCGGGGGCCCCATGAGTTGTCAGTCCGCCCCTGAATTCAACTACTCCCTAATTCCCTAACCAAACCTCCTCGCCTCTTGTACGTCATAGCGATCTCTCTTCTGGGAGTGTCTAATTACTCTCTGTGCCAGCCCACCTCCTTCACCCCTCCCTTCACTTTATTTTTTAAATTTATTTACTTATTTTTTATTTATTACAGGTACCTGCATAGAACCAACGATTTACGCAGTGTCTTTGGAGTGTGGGAAGAAACCGGAGTACCCAGAAGAAATCCACACAGGCACAGGGAGAATATGCAAACTGTAGGGGGAAAGTGAAGGGAAATACTACAGCATGTCATTTGAAAGGCAGCTCCGAGTCTCCTGGAGCTGCTAACATCACATCCAAGGGGTTTGTGTCCAGAAGTGGTCTCAAGGAAAGTAGATGTCTACACAACAGAGGTTTTTTATACGTAAATAAAATGCAGAAAAAATACATTAATTGCACATATAATCATACTGTGAGGTTTTTATTGAACTGAGTGGTCTGGCGACAGGATTTTCTTAAGCGCAAGATTTTTTAGGTTTGTCTGCAGCCTACAATTACTTCATATTTAAATGGCTTTACAGTGAAAGAAATGCAAAAAACATAGAATATCTAAAGGCGTGCCTATTCTACTCCATTAGACTATTCCACTCAGTGTAATAAACAAATCTGTTGTAATTATCACAGATCCTTTCATTTGCACCTTTCACTTCCCCAGACCCTCCAAAAAGCCTTGTGCATCACATACATGCCATTCACCTGCTGTCTGCATGTAATGCATTGGCTTTACTTAGCACTGTCAGATCATGCTTACACTGAAGTCCATCATTACAGCTTCTTACGTAAATTCGGGTCTTGAGGTTAATTAGCGCCTAAATCCAACACTTATATTGTGATTTTAGGTCTGCAACTGTATTTATCTCAGTAAATATAAGGAACAGGGGTGGACTGACCATTTGGAAACTCGGGCACTGCCCGAGGGCCCGGCATCAGTAGGGGGCCCCATGAGATGCCCCTGGTAACTTTTTCATAGGCTTTTTTGAGTTTGGGCAAGGACACAGGGGCCCCATGATCCCCTATTGCCCGGGGGCCCCATGAGTTGTCAGTCCGCCCCTGATAAGGAATCTAATAAAGTAGAATGCCAAGCAAAGTTAACATAGTAAATCTCATCTCATTTGGCTAATTTTTGAATATAACTTGTGTTGTCTACAGCAGCCAGCTATGAAGATCATACTCAATTCAAAAATTAATTTAGAATAATGTTCCCCAACAGTACTTCTGTAGATATTCTGGATCTCTACATCTATGGAAAATGAAAACTCCAGAGTATTTACTAAGATTATTTTGAACTCTAGTGATTGCCTCTTTAACCACTAGCCTACAAGGCACTTATACCCGCTTCCTGCCCAGGCCAATTTTCAGCTTTCAGCACTTGTCACACTTGGAATGACAATTGCACGGTCATGCAACACTGTACCCATATCAAATTTGTATCATTTTGAGACAGATAGAGCATTCTTTTGGTGGTATTTATTCACCTCTGGGTTTTTTATTTTTTTCTAAACAAGCCAAAAACAACTGAAAATTTAGAAAAAACAAATGTTTTTTCTTAGTTTTTGTTATAAAATTTGTAAATAAGTGATTTTTCTCCTTCACTGATGTGCACTAATGAGGCTGCAGTGATGGGCACTGATAGGCTGCACTGATGAGGAGGCACTTGTAGGTGGCACTGATGGCCATTGACAGGCATCACTGATGGGCACTGAAAGGCAGCACTCATATATGGCACTTATAGGTGGCACTGTTAGGTGGCACTGACTAGCACTGTTAGGCAGCACTGATGTGCACTGACTGGAACTGATAGGCGGCACTGACTGGCACTGATAGGCGGGGCATTGATAGGCAGCACTGATGGGTGGCACTGACTGGCATTGATAGGTGACACTGAAAGGCAGCTCAGATGGGCACTGATATGTGGCATTGATGTGCACTGGTACACACTGATATGTGGCACTGGCAGGTGGCACTGATGGCACTGACAGCTGGCATTGATGGACACTGACAGGTGGCACTGCTGGGGCTACACTGATCATCAGTGCCCTGATGATCAGTGTACATGTCCCCTCTGAGGAATACAGTGTGACAGCTCGTGAGGAGAGAAATGCCGATAACTGGCATTTCCTTATTTACATGCGATGAGCTGTGATTGGACACCGCTGATCACATGACCGAGCTGACATCTTCGGCCCTTTCCTTTACCTTTCCACCAATCGCCGCACTGTGCACCCCCAGAGCCGCGCACGCGCGGTTTAGAGTGGGAGGATGTCATATGACGTCCTCCCAGAACGAGAGAACCGCCTTTCACCCATCATTTCCTTATATGGCCGGCGGTAGGTGATTAAAGAATAACTGACTGTAGCAGTCAACAACTCTTCCATTGATATGGATGAAGATACTTCCACCCATCAGCAGAAGAAACAGAGCCCAGGTGGGAAATGTTTTGTCCTCTTTTCTGGGCTGGTTGGTCCTTACTGATGCCAAGATCAAAGCCTATGTAGTGACATCAGTGCCACTCTCTGCATCAGTACACTGTGAATGAAGGGTGCCATAGTGATGAACTCACAGCATGTGTTCAATCTTCCAGGTTAACTACTTGCCCTCCTGAGGATTTACCCCCCTTCATGACCATGCCATTTTTTGCGCTACGGCGCTGCGTTATTTTAACTGACAATTGTGCGGTCATGCAACGCTGAACCCACATGAAATTTAGGGGCTTTTTTTTCCCACGAATTCAGCTTTCTTTCGGATGTATTTGATCGCCTGTGCGTTTTTGATTTTTTACGCTATAAGCAAAAAAAGACAGACAATTTTGAGGGAAAAAAAACAATATTTTGGACTTTTTGCTATTAAATATGTCCAGTGAAAAAAAATTTAAAAATCTAATTTTGTCATAAATTTAGGCAAAAATACATTCTGCGAAATGTTTTTGCTAAAAAAAAATCCCAATACGTGTAAATTAATTGGTTTACGTGAAAGTTATAGCATTTACAAATGGCGGTATAGATAATGGGAATTTTTTTTTTCTACTAATAATGACGTCGATCAGTGACTTTTAGCAGGACTGCGGCGGACATTCTGACACGGGGGGGAACTAAGTTGGTGTCTCTGACACCCCAGTGAAACCAATACAGTGATCAGTGCTAAAAAAAACACTGACACTGTACTAATGGCACTGCACAATGTGAGGGGTGGTCAAAGGGTTAACTGTGTGCTGGGAGTGTTTTACTAGGGGGCAGGGGTGTGTTCTTCACTGTAAGCACACTGATCGGAATGGCTGTACTGTGCACAGTAGACAAAACTATCTTCCTCCTCGTCAGAGATGCTCGGTAATCAACGGACGCCAGCGGGTAATTACTGGCCTGGATCCGGTGATTGACATCCGCGGCCATGAATGGTGGCACGGGTAGGGCTTGCGAGCGCCCCCTACCCGGAAATGCAAAATTACATATATATACACATGATCCTGTGCACAGGTGTCGCCCTTTAGCAGTGTATCATGGCTGTGATTGACAGCTGGATTGGAGGGGCCTCAGGTAAGGATTGGGGGAGGGGGGCTCTGCACGTAGAAGATTTTTTACTTCATGCATAGTATAGAATACAGGAAGGTAAAAAAAAACAAACCTTCAGCCGCCTTTACAACCAATTTAATGTTTTCACATAAAACAAAATCAGGGTCAGATGTTGAATGATCACTGAGCACAACAACTTCATGTAAACAGTTTAAAAATAAAAGGATACAAAAGAAAAAAATACTACATGTGAAGAAGAAACTGAATATGTAACACTGATAAATAAAATGCTATCGAGTCACACAAGGCCAGTAGAGCATAAGAAATATTTATGATGGAAGTACAGAGCTTCCTTGAAATACCATTGACCCCTGCTGCTGTCTGAAAATGCATTGTGGAAATAAATTCACAGCTTGACTGGACACAGAAATTCTGCCTGAAAAGGTGAGCTTAGCCTTTACCTTTCATAATAAACAGAAGCCTTCTGTAATGTCTTTTCTGCCAAAGCTATCCCAATGTGCTTATCTCTTACTTACCTTGTCCATGGAAGCTTTCATCAGCACCTTTCGTCCTCATGCACACTGGACGTTTTACAGCTTCTGTTGTTGACTTTTGACATTTTTTTCTACATCCAGTAAACTCCCCAGTATGTTATGCTATGTGTTCATGCACACATAGACTGTAATCAACGTCTTTTGGCTGGAAAAAAACCCAGGGGTTTCTAGAGTTTATTTTAGCTGTAAAAACGCTCTAACGCTGAATAACACGGTAAAAACGCGACAAGTGATAGACCTGGGAGGAAGATATCTATTTCTTAAAGGCACATTAGCAGGTCGCCAGGTCACATTGGCTAATGTATATTTTCCAAATAACTTGCATGTTTCTTTTTGCAAAACTATAGTTGATGAGTTGAAATGCTTCTCCTCTGGTTGTATTATCCTAGTTGGAGACTTTAATGTACCACTAGATCCACTGATAGATACCTCCACTGGAACTTCCAGTGTGAGATTTAGCGTTCTTAATAGAATTAAAAACTTGCTGCGTTCATTGACACTGGTAAATACTTGGAGAACGTTACACCAAGAGGACAAAGATTACACCTGCTACTTAGCCCCACATAACAAATACTCTCATATAGATTATGTTTTCTTGACACAGCGAGATTTACCGTATTTACAAGCAGCTAATATTGGTAAGCAGTCTACTTCAGATCATGCCCCTGTTTCCATAAGCCTGGCCCCAGTTACTCCTCATACAAGAAAAACCTTTAACTGGCGTTTAAATCCCACTTTGCAGATGGATATAAAGATCCAGCAACATATAACGGGAGAGATCACCAACCTTTTCTCTTTAAAACTCTACAGCAGATGTTGCTCCCCCTGACGATCTGGGAAGCACATAAATGCACACAGACATGAATTTATAAAACTGGGAGCCAGGCGTAAGAAGGAAAGCGAACAACAGATTGCAGATATCTCTAATAAAATTGCATCTCTAGGAGCGCAACACAAATATTCATTTGCGATCCAGGTTGCGATGAAACTTAAAGATGCGCGTAAACTCCTTCAACAAATCTTAGATGTGAATGCAAAACATATATAGTTTATACGCAAAGGCATATATTATGAATATGGAGACAAAAGTGGTACATTTCTTGCCAGGGCCTTAAAAGACATTCAGTTGGCTAACAATATTCATAGCATTAGGGAAAAAAATGGTAAAATGGAACATACCACGGAACTTATCGCCAAACAGTTTCAAGAATTCTATTCACAATTATATAATCTCCCACCACAGCACAAACCCTCTGCTTTACAGGGTACCAGGGAATATATCCTCAAAGAATATTTACTTCATAGTAAAATGCCTACCCTAAATGCTGAAGAGATTGAAGATTTGGAGCAACCACTATATCTGAGGAAGAACACTGGCTATCAAAACACTAAAGTTGTGCAAAAGTCCAGGTCCTGATGGATTCACTGCCCAATACTATAAAACTTTTCAGCAGATTTTGAAGGCACCTCTCTTACGGACTTTCAATTCCCTTAGCAAACCTCAAGATATCTCCACCTCATTCTCCTCAGTACACATTGCGATAATCCCGAAACCCGATAAAGATGTGGCTGATTGCACGAGTTATAGGACAATCTCATCTCTAAATCTAAACTTAAAATTGTTGGCAAAAATCCTGACCAACCATCTGAGACCCCTTTTGTCTAAACGAATAGGCCCGGAGCAAGTTGGTTTTATGCCTGGCAGGGAAGCAAGGGATAACGTAATCAAAGCTGTAAATTTGGTACACAGGAAAAGCCTGGATAACGTTGAGGGTTTTCTCCTGGGACTATATGTTCCTACGTGTAGACATGTTGGCCTGGACTCTAAAATGATCTCCTGGATCTCCTCTCTCTATTGCAAATCGTCTGCTCAAATTAAGATTAATGGCGCACTCTCGGAACCAGTAGTAATATCTAATGGCACGAGACAAGGCTGCCCATTATCTCCTCTGCTGTTTATTTTAACTTTGGAACCCTTTGTACGCACTGTGAATCTTAATTCCTCCATATGTGGCCATGTGGTTCAGAACAGAGAGTTCAAAGTGGCAGCTTATGCTGATGATATTTTTTTCTTAACTAGACCCCAAACATCCATTCCTAATTTGTTGGCAGTTTTTTTATGATTTTGGATATGTATCCAATTTAAAAATAAACTACCAGAAATCTGAAGCCTTAAATATATCACTCCCATCTCAAAAACTAGCTGAAATTCAACTCAGCTGTCCTTTCAATTGGGAAGTTAAGGCTTTAAAATATTTAAAACTAAAAAAAAAAAGCAAACATTTATACTCACCTTGGTGGATGCAGCATAGATCTGTTGCTGCATCTGTCCCTTGCCTCCTTTATACCAAAAACTGAGCAATCAAAAGACTGTTGATCACTCAGTTCTCAGTCTTCAGTGAGTAGAGAGCGGTGACTGTCAGTTGGCTCTGGAGTGCTAGGCTGTGGAGGGGGTGGAATCAGCTAGCTCAGGCTCTCAGCAGCACACTGAGAGGTTGAGCCTGCTGCCGGACAAGCCATCTGAGCAGATCCCAGTATTAAAGCAGAGCCTGGAACAGCTGGGTGATGTCAGCCGACAGATGTTACCCTGCTGTTGGCTGAATACAGGTCATAGGAGTGCAAAAGAAAGTTCACTCCTGTGATCCCCAGAAGAAGTATAGCCAAAAGAACTTGACCATACTTCTCTTTTAATGCATTCCTTACATTAAGGTAAAAATGTATAGGCATCAATATTGTCTTCTCACTCCCCACCCCCCTTTTTAACTACCTAAACCCTCATTTGATCCAGCGCTGTACCCGCCTGCAGCTCTTCTCTCCCCTCACTTCATGGTTTCCCAGGTTTTGCTGAGGCAGTGGCTCCCACTACTGTCAATCAAAGCCACAAAGGAGCAGGGGCTCTGGGTCTATAGACCCAGACAGTGGGGCTCAGGAACAGGCCAGCACAAACACCACTATTGGAAGCGGCACTCGCCGGAGAGGAGAAGCACTGGCAGGGAACCCAAGAAATGGAGGTTCGGGGCCACTCTGTGAAATTCCATTGCACAGAGCACTTGTTATTAAAAATGTTTTGCATTTACAGTCACTTTAATTGTATTGGTACATAGGAAAGCTGTACTAAAGAAAAA